TTTAGTTGAGGTACATGTGTCCACAAGTTGTGTAGTACTTGGTTCAAAGAAAATCTCAAGACAAACCTGTAGAATCAGAAAGCAAATTTCAAGTGTAAGAAACCCTAGTCAAGGAATTACGAAGAAAAAAACAAAAAACAGTCTCAAGATTCATATTCATAACTAAGTGGTGATGGATTAGTGATTCCCACTTGAGGAAAGAATTGGTCTGCGGGTCTAGTCCAAGGTTCAATTCCTCTCAAGCGTGGAATTAACTAATACCTTCCATTTGGCTAGTTGAAATGATGCCACGTTTTTGATCCGTTAGAGAACCTAATGAATGAGTTACTCGACGGTTACACTTACTTTGGAATGATTAGTCGGGTGGTAAAAACTCGGATCACCCCTTGGTGGTCCAAAAACAAAAAATCCGATTTATATTGCACAGACAATTCCTCACGAATGATAGGTATTTATACCACCGCCAGAGCAGGAGACTAGATCTCAAGGAGAAACAAAGATGCAAAGCTTCATGTGCTTTGAGATATGGCATAGGCAGAGACAACCCCATAGAGTACTCTCCACCAAACTCTTGATTAGGGGTGGGTATTCGGTACCATGGTTCAATTTTTCGGTTATACGGTTTTTTTTAATCATATTTAAATTAAGTTTAGAATTTTCTAATCCTATTTAATTAGGTTTATTTTTCACTATTTTATAAATAGAGATAAATAGATAACTCTTTTAACATAATTAAATATGATAAAAAAATTATTTTATATTTGTATACACGTGTCAAAATCTAATTAACAACATGATCATGTTTTTACAAAGTTTGACGCATAAAGCTTTATATAATAACTAGAATAGGACCCGCGTTAATACGTGGGTAAATACAATACAATTTACTGATTTTTTTTAAAATTTTAATTCATAACACATTAAATTTTAAAATATTATTTAACATTGATCATAATACCAGTTGAAGTCAGTTTATATAATAATTTTTATGTTTTAATCCATATCATGTAAATCCAAAAATATATATAATTGAATTTAAATCATATTCTTAATAAAACAAAATATATATTGTAACTCATTATGAATATATATGAATTTTGTGATAGAAATAAAAAAAATTAAAATACTAAATAGTTAAATAAAAAAAGTAAATTTGAGTTACCTCATAAAAAGTACAAATATTGTTGTGAACCATTACATAAGTTCATGATTGATAATTGTATCTTATTAATATTATCGTTTTATTTTTCATAAATGCTTATATTCGCCAAACTTTATACAATATTAACTTCATATTAAATATAATATTATTATTTTTTAACTTATATAGTTTTCAATATATACATTTGGAGAGTATCAATGGCGTTATGGGTAAAAAATTTCTATTTTGTTGTGATATTTTATAACTCTATATTGATAAAATAAGTTTATTTATAGATTTTTTTTTAATTATTTTTTACATGATTGTGTATATCTTTAAAATTTTCAATTGAGGTTTCTATAACCTTTTTTAACTTTTTATTTTCCAATTTATATACCTTTTTATCATTTTTATAGTTATTTTAATTGACATTTTTATTTTGTATGTAATATTTGTTTCTTTTATGGCTTATGTAATAACTATATTTCATCTTAAATTTTATTTCTTAATTAGTATGGATAATATTATAAATTTTACTTTTTTTATTTAATTAGTAACTTTACAACTAATTTTTATTTTAAATCTTAGTTTTTTTAATTAATTTTAAGTTTAACACGTTTATCATCTAATCAATATTAGATACATGTCACGAGTTTCTGAATTATAATTTTGCTTACGTGTCATGTTTATATAAAAATGCATTACGATAAATACTTTTGATTTTAAAATTTGTATCGCCTGTAATTTGACATATGTAATTGATTTTAAATTACGACTCAGAAAA